TTCGCAGCCCGGCTGAGAAAGCAGCAGGTTAACGCTGATGCGTTCGTGTTGCAGGATTTCAAGGTGGGGAACCTCCTGGGGAAAGGCTCCTTCGCAGGGGTCTACAGAGCAGTGTCCCTGAAAACCGGGCTGGAAGTGGCTATCAAAATGGTAAGGCAGCCAGGGAAGTGTTTGTCTTCTGGCAACTGTTGCAAGGAGCAAGGGGTTGGGGTTGTTTGTTTGTGTGTAATGGATATTTAGATTTGGAGTCGGTCCTGGAAGATGCAGCACAACCAAATAGGTGAGGATTCCGTCCTGGAAGATGCAGCACAACCAAATAGGTTAGGATTCCGTCCTGGAAGATGCAATACCATCAAAGGAACTATTAGTAATTAACAGAAATTACTATAAAGCTTTTAAAAGATCTTCAGCTCAAATACTTGGCATTGGGTGGACAATCAACCCTGTATTTCTAATTCAGAAGTTTGCGGCCACAAACTCATTTAGAATCCATGTGCCTGGAATGATCCTGGAAAAAATGCCTTGTAAAACTGTCTTCAATGCCAGGATGAACTTTGTGGAAGAAACTCTCATATCACAGGTGTATTGCCAGATTTCCATATAATCTATATTGCTTCTATTTAGTCACTTCTATTTTAATGTTAGCTATATTTAGGGTATCTGCCTGGCAATTAGGTTTTCGGGGAATTAGGTTTCTGTGCTTAAGTATTTCAGAAAAGAAATTAATTAGTGTTAATAGTGGAAACATTGACACTTGTCCACTTTCAGTCATGGTGTCTCTCCAATTATCTGTGACACTTATTCATTAAAAGAATATATTAAGTGTGAAAACTTACTGATATTTAGAAGTTTTCAGGTAAACATGCCTTGAACAGGTAAAATGTCAAGTTCCCTTGAAATTAATGTGTATAATCAGTGTTGCAGTGCTTGACAAATACTCTGTGATCCATTTACAGATAGATAAAAAAGCTATGCACAAAGTTGGAATGGTGCAGAGGGTTCAAAATGAGGTGAAAATACATTGTCAGCTGAAGCATCCATCCATACTTGAGGTAAGAGTCCTGGATTTTGTGCAGGGGGTTGGATGTGTGACTTGCTGTAAAGTCTACAAATGGATTTTAATTTTCCCCTTGGTTGATGTTGCAGCTTTATAACTACTTTGAAGACAGCAACTATGTATACTTGATCCTGGAGATGTGTCACAATGGTGAAATGAGCAGATACATAAAGAACAGAAAGAAACCCTTTTCAGAAGATGAAGGTGAAATCTATTTGTCCTGTGGAGCTATTTGGATTAATAAATACATAATTCTAGAGAGAGTATTTAAAATTGCTATCACAGTTTCTTATACCTTAAAATCTTCTAAGTCATAATCTAGAGATGAATTATTGTACATATATTCGCTCATGCATTTCTATATGCTGTTGTTTTTGCCTGTGATATTTGATTATAAAAAATGGTCGTCTTAGAGGTATATAAAAGGTAGAACTTATCTCTGTACATAGGATTATGTTAAAATATAGGTCAAGAATGTAAAGATCCACAGGGGAAGTTTGGCAGCTTGACATGCACAGGTTTGCTTTGTGTTGTTCCTCTTCTGTATTGCTTGTCACCAGTTATAAAGCCTTCAAGAGTATAGTTTGTCTTAGGTAGTATTGATGGAAATACTGTGTTCCAAGCTGCCTGTGGACATGAAGATAATGCAGTTACCTGTGTTGCTTAAGGTCTGAGTGAGCAAGGAAGTATCCAATTTGACACTCTGTCTGGGAATTCTGAAGGACTGGCAGCAGAGGAGAAGTTCTACGGTTTTACCTTAGTTTCTTGCAGAAAGCACTGAAAATCCTACTTCTCATTGAGAGTTCACTATGAGAGTAAGGTGTTTTATAACTGGCCATGTACTCTTGAGTACTGTTTTGAGAAAGAGAAGTCTTGCAAAAAAACATTGATTCACTCAAGAATTTCCTAATATTTCACTCTCCTACAGCTGAGAGAGGATTTCAGCTAAACACAGACCAGGGAAAGCCTAACCAGAACAGCACAGTAAAATGAAATACAGCAAAGCAACCTGCAGTGTGTCTTGTTTGAGGGCACTGATCAACCAAACAAGCTGTTCTGGTTTCGGCCCATCTGGGTTCAGTGGTTATTGCCTGTATTGCTTCCAGACTTGCCTCCCTGGTCATCTTTTGTACAGTTCTTTCAGTTTACCTGCTTCTCTATCAGTTTTTAATCTAATTCCATGAACTATAGATATGGATTTTTTAGAACCTAGATCAAAGAACTGCATTAAAGGGTATTGCTATACAGGCATCATCTGTTCCACTGATATATATTCCAGCAAAACAGGATCACCTGATGGTACCTCAGTTCTAGAAGCTGATAAACCACTGGCCTGGCTAAAGCAGCCTCTTCCTTTGAGGAGTGGTTTCTACTGGTGGTTGTTACTCACCAGTCTTTGCCCTCTGTAAATTATTTGCTCTATAAAGAGTCAGTCTTAAAATTGCCTTAATTGCAACATCACAATAAATGATGCTCTTTTAGCCTGGATGAGGTTGTTAATAATGCTGTGAGCTATAGCTCTTGAATAGTCTCTGAATTTCTAGTGTAATAGAACAGACAGGCTGTCCCAATATCATGGGCTTAGAAGGTTTTGAACAATTGGAATTCTACTACCCTTCTCAGTTTGCTAATGATTAAAGAAAGATCATCCAAATTGTCTCCTGTATTTTATACTCTGCACATAGTGAAGCTGCTTGATTTTTGTGTATTTACTGTGTATATTGCTGGAAGTGATGAGCAACTTGGTTGAATTCTTAAGAACCTCATTTTAAAAAGTTCAGGCTAACAGAAAATATTTCCAGTCCTGTTTTCTTTATTCCATTAGCAAAGATGCAAATCTGATTACTACATTAAGTTTTTCATCAACTTGGAACATAGTTGTGCCATTTAGCTTAGAGTAGAAAGCAGAAAGTTAATTCCATTGGAATTAACTATTACTACTCTATCTTATAGCATGGCACTTAGACAGCCTTGTCATGTTCTTTTTATTAAACAAAAAGAAAGCAATATGAATAGTGGAGTTAGTTATTTTCAGAGCTCTGATGACAACTGTAAGACTAACCCATGTGGCTCTGTTTTGCAGCCCGACTCTTCTTGCATCAGATCATCACGGGTATGCTGTACCTTCATTCCCATGGAATACTGCACCGGGACCTGACCCTCTCCAATATCCTACTCACCAATAACATGAATGTCAAGATTGCTGATTTTGGACTAGCCACTCAGCTGAAAATGCCTCACGAAAAGCATTACACCATGTGTGGAACTCCCAATTACATTTCCCCGGAGATAGCCACCAGGAGTCCGCACGGACTCGAGTCTGATGTGTGGTCTCTGGGTTGCATGTTCTACACTCTCCTCATTGGAAAGCCACCCTTTGACACGGACACGGTCAAGAACACGCTCAACAAAGTGGTGCTGGCAGATTATGAAATGCCAGCCTTTCTGTCTAGAGAGGCTCAGGACCTCATTCACAGGTTGCTTCGCAAAAACCCTGCAGATCGCTTGAGTCTCTCCTCTGTGTTGGATCATCCTTTTATGTCCAGGTGCAGTTCTGCACGGAGTAAAGATTCGGGATCTTCAGAAGATTCCATGGACAGTGGAAATGCTACCATCTCGACAGCCTTCACTGGCTCTTCCAGCATCAGTACTAGTGGCTCCTTGAAGGAAAAGAAGAAGCTGTTGGCTGCACAGCCACTCCCAAATAAAATTACCTTTTTCCCTAAAACCAAGAACTCCAATAATGCTCCATCGGTAGATGGAAGTGGTTCTTTTCATCAGTGGGGAGTGGGAACAGAAACTGGCATGACTGGCAGGGGAAGAGCCATGCAGCTTGGTGAGGAGAGACCACATTCCCGCTACCTCCGCAGGGCTCACTCCTCGGATCGCTCTGGCACATCCCACAGTCAGACCCAAGGAATCCCAAACGTGGAGCGATGCCACTCTATGGAAGTGCTTTCTAAGCCTAACGTGGGAACAAGGGAAAACACAGAATACTTCTCACCTGCCAACAGCTATGCTGATATCGGAGAGATATTTAAGGAGAAGACTTCTGGTAGTTCTGGTTCTTTTGAAGGGCAAATATCTCCACCTGTAAAAGATCAACCACAGTAAGAATCAGTTTTACTAAGATGAAACTTAGAGCTGGTAATACTCTGTTATTGGCTGCTTTCCATGTGCAGCAAGTTGAGTATTTCTTACCCCACAGTAATTGTAGTAGAGAGCTAATTTTTCTCTGTAGAGCAATTGTCTCTTTGTAGCAGAGACAGACTAGGGTAGAAAGCATTCAGAGTCTGATAACCAATGCCTTCCCTTGCTGATCTCTTGTGGTATGTTTTTTCTGTTCTGCTTAGAGGGGGTAAAAGGAAAAGTAATTGAAGTACAAGATTAGGTAATGGATTGTAACAGTGTTGTACCAAAAAGGAAAACAACACTCAGATAATTATCTGAAATTTAGTTCTGGCCCTAGTTGTAGCTTCTGGGGACTATCCTGGGTTGTTTCTATATATGATTCCATCAGCAAAAATCACATTTGATTTCCTGCTTTTATATAAGGACTGTTTAATATCTTGGTTCTTGCATTTCTCTCCATAGCAATCTAAATGAGATGCTTATATTCTGTGGGTTTGGGGTGTCTTGGGTGATAACTGAGTCCTTGCCAATAGTCAAGTAGGGATCATCACAAAAATGATGTGCAGACAGCTACAGGATATGGAGATGAAAAACCTCACAGGAGCTTAGTGTGAATTTATAGCAGGTCAATGACTCTGCAGTAACTGGTTTTGTATGTGTTCTTTATCCTCCAACATGTGGATTATATCTTGAGTTCACCAGTAATGACATCTAAAAAGCTGGTAAAAAAATCTTTATAACTTTTGGGGTTGCCTCTGTTTTATATAAATTCAAACTATTTTAGGGGATAGAATTTAGCTACATCTTCCAGCTGCATATTTGTTATGCTGAATGAGATCCACTGAGGGTCATGGGCATCATCCCAGTGTCTTCTCCAAAGCTCTGTTTCCTGTACTGTGAGCGAAGAGCTGGGTGTAACAACAAGCCACTGCTGGCAGTGATACCAATGGCTCTTCTTGTTCATATATGCCAGCTCAAAGAGTCTACTAGTGAGTGCTAACAGGATTAAAGTTGTGCTATAATTAGTACTAACTTTTCATTCCATTTGGAAACAGTATTTTATTTTGTTATACTTTACCCAATGAACATTCCCCATGACAAATCAGCATGTTCTGTGCCACCTAGAGCTACAAAATGTCACCTGCATCTCTTAACTGTGTTAAATGTCGTGGTTTCTGCACTGTCATGTCATAACTTTGGTTGTGGAAGTGTTTTTGATGTGATCTTAGCTACCTGTGTGTCTAACTTTTGTTTTGCAGCTCAAATTATCTGTGCCCAATGAAGCCCCAGGTTGGTTTGTTAGAGCAGAAGTCCCAGGCTGAGACGATGCAGCAGTGGCTTGGAAGCATGCAAACAAATGGTGTGTTCTTCTGCACTTGTGTCTTTTTGCACTCAAATTGGAGTTTTATTTCTTTGTATGTTGAATTTGAATACTTATTTTTCTTAAATGAGATTATCTTCTATTAGTATTTTAAGGGGGAAAAAAAAAAGAGTAAAACACAATTCTAGAACCTGCCATAACTGTTCAAAAAAAAGAAATCATAGAATTTTAGGGGTTGGAATGCACCTTATGATCACCCAGCCCCCTGCCATGGGCAGGGACACCTCCCACCAGACCAGGTTGCTCAAGGCCTCATCCAGCCTGGCCTTGAACACTGCCAAGGTAGGGGCAGCCAGAGCCTCCCTGGGCAACCTGTGCCAGTGTCACCCCATCCTCACAGGGAAGAACTTTTTCCTAATCTCTAGCCTAAATTTCCCCTCCTTCAATTTCAACCTGTTACCTCTTGTCCTGTCACTGCAGCTCCTAACAGAGAGTCCCTCTCCAGTTCCCCTGTACACCCTTCAGGTACTGGAAGGCTTTGAAAGAACTATTCAGTTGTAACATGAAATGTGTTAAGTATGTGACCGAAGATTGACAGGTGACTTGAAAACCCTGTTAGTTTAGTTGTTCAAATACACCTTCAGAGAAAATGGGACCTCAGTGAGTGAGAGAGATAATAAGGCTGCAGAAGGAAAGGTGGAGGAAAGGACAAAAGACCCAGAAGGGAAGTTGTTTTTTGTTGGGTATCATGTTACATCATTTACAAATAATGTAATTTAATCATAAAACTGAATCACTAATACCTTCTGGCCTTTTTATTGTGATATTACTGAACTCCTTCCCTCCCTTGTCTACAGGGAATTGGAATTAAATGACATATGGTCTGAATAATCCTATATAATTTTTGGTTCCTTCTCATCTATTCAGCCACATGACAGGAGGAGTGCAATGGTTATGTGGGTGAGGTGAAAGTTGATCAGGGGCTTAAAGATCACTACTAGGAACGTAGTTATAGGAGGGTTAAGTATGAAAATAGGGGTTTGTCTGGAAATAAAACAAGGAGTTTGGAGTATACATTTAACATCTTGAGCACTATAACCTCTGGCTAATGCTGTAACAGTCTTCGCATACGCTGAAACTTAAATGAAACTTGCTACTAGTGGTTATCTGAATGGTAAGTAAGATGCCTTTGAGCAGATTAAACTTAATTCTTGTTTAAAAGTCTTTTGTAAATTTTAGTACTTTGCTTATAAATAGATTTTTAACTACTACTTGATAGATAAAGACTGAAGACCATCATAACTGAAATGTAATAACAGTTTATTTTAAGTAGCACTGGAATTTTATTAGCACTGGTATTGATTGGTACTAATGATTTGGACTGAGGGTTAAAGAAATTCCGTTCTCCACTTAAATAAGCCTTCCAAGATGGTCTTTGGAGAGGATCTTAAAACCATAATAGCACTTTTTCCTTCTGACTCTTTGAATCCACAATGTACCTTTGTGGTGCTTTCAGTTCCTCTGAGACCACCTGCAGACCTGTCTGGCAACAGTAATGCCCATGGAGGCTTTTGGTATCCTCTGGACATGCAGCAAGGTGCACCAAGAAATGCATGGAACACCTTAAAAGATATAAGGAATTGTGATGCCTCCGACTGTCCACATGCCTTAAACCAGAGAAACCCAAAGAAATGCATCCCTGGAGTTCTCTGCAAATCTGAGAAAATTCAACCATCTTCAACCTGTGGCCTTTGGTCAACTTCAGAACAAGCCCCAATGTGGGGCCAAGAACCACCAGGGCACCAGAAACGGACACTGCGAAGCATGGTGTCACCTCTCAGTGCTCACAGGCTCAAACCCATCAGGCAGAAAACAAAAAATGCAGTGGTATGGAGCAGTTCTTAAAATGCCTTTTTAAAAGCATTTGTTGGGGGGTGGGGGGGGGGGGAAGTGGTATATTACCTTTGCAGAAAATAAAGGTCTTGTTTAACCTGTACATTTAATGTGCTTTAGGTGAGCATTCTAGATACTGGGGAAGTGTGTATGGAGTTCCTAAAAGACCACCATTCACAGGAATTTGTGAAAGAAGTTCTCAGAATATCTTGTGATGGAAATGTGGTGAGTATGTTTGCAGTGTTTAAGGGCTTAGAGTTCTTTCAGTTGGCTTTATTTTCATTGAAGTGGTTATTTCATTTGAAACACAATGTTTACACATGCACAGCTATAAACTTTTCTCCTCCGTAGTACAGGCTTAAAATATAGGAGCAAGCAATTATTTCAGGGCAAAATTGGACTTGACCTTTGGAATAGGCTAAGCACTTAGCAGCAGCAGTTTTTCAACAGTGATCAATCACAGTAACTAAACTGTGATTCATTTCTATACCTGTTAAAAGTAGGAAGTGCTCCACTCAGTTACAACTAAACACGTTTTCCTTTTGTTGTAGATTGCAGTTTATCATCCAAATGAAGGAAGAGGTTTCCTTCTTGATGACAGACCTCCTGCTCCTCCTGAAGGCATCTGCATGTATAATTTTGACAACTTGCCAGGTAAACGTGAAATTGACTTAAAACATCACACTAATCATCATTTTAAACTAATTCTTGAGAATTCATAACTTTTAGCCACTACTTTTCAGACACTTGTGAGTATAAAACTTTCAGAATCATCATCAAACTACAGTTTAACTGGAAACTATTTTGAAGCTTCACAAACTCTAAACCCACAGATTTTACTTCCTTTATATATGGGAGTTCTGAGAAGTCACGTAGCCATTTACAATGTAGTGTACAAAAATTAAAGCTTTCATGATCTTTTCCTCATTCTCACTGGGAGCTGTTGGTGTAAATAAGTTAGTTTCTTTGCACATACTACTGTCAAACACATAAATATTACTCACAACCTTCAGCTATCGAATATCTATGTCAAATTTCTTCTCTTCAAGCTGGTACACAGTGTTTAATCTTAATTTTTTCAAAAGCTTTTATATTTTTTTTTTTTTCCTTAGAAAAGTACTGGAAAAAATACCAGTATGCAGCCAAGTTTGTGGAGCTGGTAAGGACAAAAACCCCCAAAGTGACGTTCTACACAAGATATGCCAAGTGCATGTTGATGGAAAATTCACCCACTGCAGATGTTGAAGTTTGTTTTTATGATGGTAGGTATTAATTTTTGAAATTATGCAGAGAGTTAGCTCATATTAAAGCTGCATTAATAGAGTGACAAACACTAAACAACTTCAGGCTGAAGAAAATACTACACTGTAAAGATTTTTTTTTGGCCAGTTTTGGCTTTCAGCTGTTAACTGTGGTAATAGTATTTCCAAGAACACTCACAGGGAAACATATTTGGCTGCCTTTTCCCATTTAAGTAGTGATCTTTGCCCACAGGGGGCATTCCATTAACATCACACTTCTAGTTTAAGTGGCTTTCTGTTTCTGCTAGACACAGAGCTCATGCAGGAGTGGTTTTCCTCCTGCAGGAATGAAGGCAGGGAGAAACACTTGAGTAGAATAGAATGTAATGGCAGAAATCTGTATCCTGTAGGATTCGCACTGAAAGGATTTACCTTCTTTTTTTTTTTTCCTTTTCCCAGGAGCAAAGATACACAAGACAGCTGGAATAACTCGTGTGATTGAAAAGTCAGGCAAGTCCTTCACGTTGAAAGGAGACAGCGAAGCAGGGTTGAAGAAGGAAATACAAGTTTATATGGATCATGCAAATGAGGTGAACTGTTTTATACAGCTCATTTCCCAGTGCAAAGCACCTTCCTGAAAATTCAGTTTGCCTTTGACACATGTGCTTCCAATGTCGCTTTGCATGTTTTAACATGAGACCTCTTTATATAACTTGAAAAATTCAGTGCCGTTGAAATTTCCTGTTTGGGCTCACCTGCCACACTAAACGTGTATGAAATAGTTATACAGTTCTCAGTTAAAAACTTGAATTAACTCCTCCTAATTTCAGGGCCATCGTATATGCCTTGCACTGGAATCTGCTGTTTTGGAAGAAGAAAAAAGGACTGGAAATGCTCCATTTTTTCCAATAATTGTTGGAAGGTAATAGCTTTTACTTGAAAATACTTAAGGTATTTGAAGATTGCCACTGAGCAGCCTTATCCAGCTCATGTTTGCAGAAGGCAGAGTTGTTTAACAGAGGCTCCTAGTCATTAGCAAGATCAGTATTATTTTGTTAGCATGTATGAACTTTATTTGGACCTGCAGAGCCTCCTTTGAAACCAGGATAACATACACTTGTGGATTTACACTAACCCAGGCTAACAACTAGCACGTGTAAAAACAATTCTGCAGAGGACAAGTGCCTTCAAGTGCTTTGGACAGTCCATGGGGCATTGAATGAAAAGCTATGTCTCCTCATGTGTTTCTTTAGTTCCTTTTGGAAAGACCTTTTCCCAATTTTTTCTCGTTCTTTTTCCAGAAAACCTGGCAATACTGAATCACCACAGGATGTGTCACCTCCACTGCTGGACAGTACAAACTGTTCCAAAGAAGTTGTGGCACTGGATAGAAATAAAGCTGCCAGTTCTGTTCCAGTTCAGACTTCAAACTGCACTCCTGTAAGTACACAGAAACATGCTGTGGAGACTTCTCTCCCACAGGAATTCCAAGATTGCTGTTTTATTTGAACCAATGGCATTACATTAGTATGGACATAGGCTTTTCTTAGCTGTTTGTGAACATAATGATTAGGAATTGAAGTGGAAGTTTGCAATAGAAAATATACTATTGACTTTGATTTCAACTAACTTTTGGTATCTAGATTTAAGATCATCTGAAAAATCAGAATCCTCCAAAACTTTACCACAAATGGCTCCTGGGAGCAGAGCTTGAAAATTGCTTACTCACCTTATACAGCACAATCTTCAGTTTGTTGTTGCTGACAACTTTCACTTCACTGAAACGAACCTGACAACCAAAAATCCTTCGGGCTTCAGTACTAGTGTTGATTTTGACACTGACTGAAGGTTACTCATCACCAGAGTTATAAGTTGAGGGTTCAAGGTTCAAATTCCTTCTCTATTTGCCATACAGCAAACATTTCAATCCTTAAGAACTGATTTCGTTGGTTTCTTGGTACTTGAGATCTGTATATCCTGAGGGTACAGCTTGTTGTTTCTTTCAGGTTCCCATAATTATCTGGATCTCCATTTCTTTTGCTGAACGAACTCTCCTATTTGAGGCACTTTCTGACTTGCATCTTTTCACTGAACACTGAATCTTACACCCTACTAAGCACCACTACCTCATCTCTGTCATCGCTGGCTGTGGGAGGAGGTATCTCAGTAGCACAACTTCTAGAGAAGCAGATATATTCCTCCTAGGCAGTGTAGTGGTGGTGTTCTCCTTCCTACAGGCCTCTAATGTTTGATCCTGTGTTATCCTTAATTCATCACTTCTCTCTCTTTAAACCTTTAACAGATTCTCTGTGTGTTGTAGAAACTCTTCTAGTGATGTTTAATGTTCTAGTTTCCAATTACTAGCAATGTCTGTTTTTGGCCAAGTGGTCTCTGACTGAGGGCTGTTTTAGAACCTGATGTCTGCTGAACACTCAAACTGGATAGGCTGACAGCAAAAAGGTTAAGTAGAAAAAGTCCACTTAGGGAAAGCAATTCCCTTGTGCTTACAGGGAAAAGCCAAGTGAAATCCTGTGGGGCTTTCATACTGTAATGCTGTTAAATGAAGCATATAGGCTGAATCTGTCTGTGTATATGAACAGGTGGTAAGTGACCACTGCAGTTGATGCACAATCAGTGGGATTAATACTAAGGCTCTCTGGGTTAAGTAGAAAAAGTCCACTTAGGGAAAGCAATTCCCTTGTGCTTACAGGGAAAAGCCAAGTGAAATCCTGTGGGGCTTTCATACTGTAATGCTGTTAAATGAAGCATATAGGCTGAATCTGTCTGTGTATATGAACAGGTGGTAAGTGACCACTGCAGTTGATGCACAATCAGTGGGATTAATACTAAGGCTCTCTGGGTTCTAGGTGGTGTCCTATGAAAAACCTGCATTTCTGGCTAACACTGCTGAAACTATGTGCTCCTCGGTCCATCAAACAGAATGCAGTCCCAATTCAGCCCAGCTTGTAAAATCTGTCTTTGTGAAGAATGTTGGTTGGGCTTCTCAGGTGAGAAATTCATACTGATAAAGGAAGTCTGTTCTTTTTTTTCCTTTTCAACTTGAGATACGTGTTTTTCAGTCATGAACTTAAACATTGGTTTGTGAGGAATATGTTCACTTATGCTTTGTCATGGTTTAAACTTGAAATTTGCATGTGGAAAGATCCTTTCAAATGAGCATTTTTGCATAAATACCAAGGTGATAAATACCAGAATAAGTAGAAGGAACCAAAATAATAGCTGAGTATTTCAGTTATCACAATTTTCATGTGGCTATTCTTGCCTATTTCAGTGTCTTTTGTCATTCAAACTTGTGTGTTCACTGATACAGATATAAAGGTGTCATGACAAAGAATTTTTAACAGATCTATTTTTAACTGTTATGTCCCAGACCTGTACAAGAGGAATGCATCAGCCTCTACAACAGGAAAAGCTGTTTCCTTACAAAGATAATTTCCCTCTGCTTTTCTGTGGGAACAGCTTTAGGTTTCTTGGCAATCCACAGAAAGCGAACTTCCTAAGAGAAAAAGTTTGCTTTATATATGTATATAAACACTTTAAAATGTGTACAGCTGAGAACTCTCCCCAAGGGGCCTCTCTTTTTCATTTGGTCCTATTTAAAGTTCCTTTAGGAGTGGTTAAGCTGAAGGTAATTCTTTAGCTGCCATTGACATGGATGACTAAAGTATCCAGGCAATCCTTATCTTTAGAAGTCTGACCAAGTCACTGTAGCAATTAGGAAAAACCTTCAGATTCAATTATAAGAAAAGTTCTAGGTATGGAATTTTGTGGTTTATATCAGCAAACCATAATGCAACTTTTCTCTTCTAGCTGACCAGTGGAGCAGTGTGGGTTCAGTTTAATGATGGATCCCAACTGGTAGCCCAAGCAGGTGTTTCTTCTATCACTTACACATCCCCAGATGGCCAGACAGCCAGGTGAGTGTCTTCCTGCTTTAACAACAGTCCAGGCAACTGTCAGTCATAAGGTAAATTACGGAGAAGAGAAGACTGCATGGAGACCTCACAGCAACTTGTCAATATCTGAAGGGGCTACAAGGAGCCAGAGAGGGACTGTGTGTTAGGAACTGCAATGACAGGACAAGGGGTAATAGGTTCAAATTGAAGGAGGGGAAGTTCAGGCTAGATATTAGCAAAAAGTCTTTTCCTGTGAGGGTGGTGAGACACTGGCACAGGTTGCCCAGGGAGGCTGTGGCTGCCCCAACCGTGGCAGTGTTCAAGGCCAGGTTGGATGAGCCTTGAGCAACCTGATCTAGTGAGGAGGTGTCCCTGCCCAGGGCAGGGGTTGGGACTAGAT